CAGAGCTTGAAAGAGTAAGAAAAAATCATTATTCAGTAGAGAGAACAATAAATGGAATTAAGAAGATATTAGATAGCATCTGACATTGAATTTAAATTTTTGAAGATCAAGTTTGACTGTAAAGCGAGAATCCGTAAAAAAAAGTTTCAAGGAGCGAAGTGCGAGAAAAGAAAATACTTAAAAAATCATCATTTGAAAAACTCTCACCTGGGCTCGAACACTGGCTATAACCATCTGATACGGAACGATTCCTGAAAGAACTTGGCGTACGACTGTTGTGCAATTTTCTTTACATATTCATATAAATTTATCTCGTGAAATATTACTTTCCCTTTCCAATTACGTATATTTCCGGAGTACGAATTACAGGAAACATGTGGATTTGACTAAACAAAATAAGCAGATATCGCTTCGATTTTCCTGACATTGTCATATTTTTTTTTATTTCTCGTTTTCGTTTTCTTGGTCGGCTATATAGAAAATTTATTAACTTTGCATAGAGAACGACTATGAATAAACGAATTCATATAATACTGAAAAATAAGTTCTCTCTCTCCAGGTCTACTTTTCTCTCTCTCTCTCTCTCTCTCTCTATATATATATATATATATATATATATATATATATATATATATATATATATATATATATATATATATATGCCAAAGTTGAGCTGGAATAAATTTACATAAACTATTGATAAAAGACACCAATATGACCGTTCTGGTTTCTTGTATAATGTGATTGTTATTGTTACGCAAATCCTGAAAATGTCTGAAGTGGGGAAAACACTGTCGCAATATATTTAAGGAGCGAAGACGGAAATAAACAGCAAGGCAATCAAACAAAAGATTAAAAATAATGTTTCCGAGTCGGAGGATTGCGCATTCTTCCGGTTAATAAATTAATGTTTTGTAAATAAATATTCAACATTTTTTAAACCAAGCAATTGCGTTCCCAACAACAATAAAAACAAAAGCTTCAAAATCCATTTGGATCGTATTTCAGCAAATTTTCTACATGCAGAAACCAGTAAGGAGACTACAAAACACGACACCGGCTCAGCTGAAAAGGGTTTCCTTTACTTATTCATCCATTTTCCTCACCAGGCTACATGGCACTTTATTGTAACCTAGAAAATGTTACTGAATGAGGAATAACCAAAACGGAGGCTAGAAAATAAATGGTAATCTTTATAACATCAAGAAAATAAAATACTCGCCAGTGGCGTGAAGTAGGTAAACCACTGATAGTGTTGGACTATTTAGACAGCATATTACCTCCACTTACAATTGTGTCCAACGTATTTATGAGGATTGGGACATAAGCATTAGTGTTCATAGGTACTGTATATAACATGCTTACACTTTCTTTCTCATTTTCTCCCTTGTCTTTTTTTTCTCTCACATACACGCGAAGAAACCAGATTTCTTTCATTTTAACAAATAGGCTATAAACAAGGACTGTTAACAAATTTAATACTCATACACACTAAGAAAAATTTACTTGTAAAAAACACGGAAATAAAATAACTTGTATAAAATAATAGAATGAAAGAAAGAAAAAAAACAAAACAAAGAAAGAAAGAAAGAAAGAAAAAAAAAAGAAAGAAAGATGGAAGGAACGTAGGAAGGAAGAAAGGAAAGAAAAGGAAAAGAAAGAAGGAAGGAAGGAAGGAAGGAAGGAAGAAACGTAGGAAGGAAGTAAGGAAAGGAAAAGAAAAAAAAGAAAGAAAGAAAGAAAGAAAGGAAAGAAAAGGAAAAGAAAGAAAGAAAGAAGGAAGGAAGGAAGGAACGTAGGAAGGAAGAAAGGAAAGGAGAGGAAAGGAAAATAAATAAATAAATAAAGAAAGAAAGAAAGAAAGAAAGAAAGAAAGAAGGAAGGAACGTAGGAAGGAGCAAAGGAAAGGAAAGGAAAGGAAAAGAAAGAAAGAAGGAAGGAACGTAGGGATGAAGAAAGGAGAGGAAAAGAAAGAAAGAAAGAAAGAAAGAAATTAAACTGAAAGAAAGGAAAATAGAAATAAAGAAAGAAAAAAGGAGGGTAAGGTAAAGAAAATAAAACAATCACAGAAAGAAACAAAAACAGAAGGAAAAAAATAAATAAATAACAAATAAAATAAAAGAAAGAAAGAAAGAAAGAAGGAAGGAGCGTAGGGAGGAAGAAAGGGAAGGAAAGGAAAAGAAAGAAAGAAATGAAGAAAGAAAGAAATGAAGAAAGAAAGAAAGAAAGAAAGAAAGAAAGAAGGAACGTCGGGAGGAAGAAAGGAAAGGAAGGAAAGAAAGAAAGAAAGAAAAGAAAGGAAAGGAAAATAAAGAAAGAAAGAAGGAAGGAAGGAAGGAAGGAAGGAAAGGAAAAGAATGAAAAAAGAAAGAAAGAAAGAAAGAAGGAAAGAAGGAACATAGGAAGGAAGAAATGAAAGGAAAAGAAAGGAAGAAAGAAAGAAAGAAAGAAAGAAAGAAGGAACGTAGGAAGGAAGAAATGAAAGGAAAAGAAAGGAAGA